AGAAGGCAGTGGCTGAGTTAGTGTAGCTCCTAGTGCTAGTATTGGTGGTGTTACTAATATAGATTCTGGTTGTTGAGATGATGAAGGCTCAGGTTCAGATGACGGTGTTTCAAACGTATTAGCAATTTCCAACTTTGACTGATCAATTTTAATGATGTCGAGTTGAAACAAGCCAGTACTCTAAAACCCAGTGACTATGTAAAAACTTCACCAGAGCTGAAACGTTTTTTTTTTCAGGTGGCTAAAACATTCTTTAGATAAGTTGCTGAACCTTGTCTCTGCATAAAACTGTTGAACTAATTTTGTTCCACACTCTTTTAATATGGCAATAAACATCAGCATCTAGTGGCTGCAGAAAATGTTACGAGTGAGCTGGTAAGCAAATTAACATGATTATTGTTTTTGATGCAAATATGTACGACCCGATAATGTCCATCTACGACTAAAATAAGAATACTAGATAACTATAATTAGATTGATGTATTAGATGAATTTTATGAATTAGATGAATTTTTTGTGAATGTAAAATTAGATAAATATAATTAGATAACTAAAATTAGATTAAACTAATTACCTGGAATTTTCTTAATGGCGGGAACATACAATTTAGTGAGCCACTGCATAAATTGCTTATCTTCCTTCCATCCGGATGGAGATATAATGTATATGGCATCATCTGGACCACTTAAACACCAACCTCTGTACAGACGCTTTTTTGATTTAAAAATAATGTAGGGAGCAAAACGATTACCAGCAGCATTCATGTAATTTCCAACTGTACAGCGGGTTTTTTCATTGTTACCAACTAATACCAATGATTACCTTGATCACCAGAGAAGCCAATTTCATCAAAATTTCACAAATGACATGGAGTGTTTATGTTGATACCTGCTACGTTAAATTCTCTTTACAGTGTGTTGAAACTTTTCTATTATTTCTTGCGAGCAAGAAGCGGCTCTGAGTGATGAAATATTACTTATGGCTCTGATGCTTATTCTATGACTCCACCGGTTTATGAAAAGCCTGCGAAGAGTTACTACTGGTATGCTGATTTGTTAAGTGAAAACAGATTTGTTGAGTGAAAATTCACCGCTTTATCCTTTACCCGCCGCAAGCGCAACTTGCTCTCCGGTGTATAGTTTTTCTTTTTTCTTTGCATGCAAGTTGTTTCGAGGCATATTTTATGTTAAAAAAGGTTTAACAATAATTTTTTTCCGTTTTTTACTCATAACTTTTTTTCCTAAATAGCAAATTTAATTTTGAAAAAAGATTCTTGATCAGCGTAAAAAGTTGAAAACTTTTTAAGTTCAATGATATCAAGTTTAAATTCCGGGAGTTTTAAGTTCATTTTTAAAAATAATAGAAAAAATCTTAAAAAATTTATAACAAATTTTTTTTAATCAAAAATAAAATTTGATATCGTCTTACTCAGAAAAGTATTCTCTACAACGTAATTTAAAACTATTTGCAAAAAAATTATCCAATAATTAACTATGAGCAAAAGAATAAACATTATCATAACTATTTCATTCCGCTATTTTATTTTACCCCCTGTTTTACTCCTATGACTAAGATAATATTTTTACAAGCTTTTTTAAGACAAGTAGGAAAAAATCATTTCTCCGAGTATGTACAAAATAGAAAAACAATTGCTTCCGAATTAAATAAATATTTTGTCTGAAGGACTAAACCTAGCCGAAAAAACTCCAAACCCTAAAAGATTAATAAAGGCAACATATGACCCTCTAAACTCGTATCTAAACTTTTTTGATTTGTCTTTTGAAGAGTTTGAGAGTGCTTTTAAATTGTTAAATTCAAAAAAAGCAGTTGGTCCAGGAATGTTATTATAAACTGTTTTGACGTTTTAAAAGACTTTTCCAAATTTTTATATGCTCTATTAATCAGAGAGTTTTTCCTGATGATTTAAAAATAGCAAAAATTATTCCTATATTTAAAGAAAGAGAAAAAACTAATCTTAAACACTATTGTCCAATTTCTATCTTTTTTCTATCTCTTTTTTTTCTAAAATTTTAGAAAGAATTTTGTACAACAGAATATACAATCACCTTTGATCAAACAAATTATTATATAACAAGCAATGTAGATTTTAAAAAATAATTCAACAGAGCATGCTATTATTCAGTTTACAAGAAGTATATCAGACTCATTTAACAATTCTAAATTCACATTAGGAATATTTATTGATTTAGCGAAAGCGTTTGATACAATTGATCATAAAATTCTTGCTAAAAATTAAAGTATTATGGTATAACAGGCAATGTTTTAAAATGGTTGAAAAGTTAATTAACTAATCGTAAACAATTTGTTTACGCCAATGAAATATTTTTATCAAGTTTGTTAAATATTACTTGTGGAGTTCCTCAAAGATCCATATTAGGACCTCTTCTTTTCCTTATTTATATAAATGATCTATTGAAATTCTATATATATGATCTATATAAATGATCTGTACAGATTTAGTAACAATAATGTTTGCTGATGACACTAATTTATTTATGTCACACAAAAGCATTTCTACTCTATTTCATTACGTGAACATTGAGTTAATCAAAATATGTGACTGGTTTAAGACCAACAAATTATCTCTTAACATTGATAAAGCTAAATGTGTTCTTTTGCATCCTCTCATCATTAAACATAAACTGCCAATTAACATGCCTCATCTTGTTATTGACAGTATACAAATTAAACAAGTAACAGTAACCAACTTTCTAGGTGTTTGTATAGATGATAATCTGACATGGAAAAATCACATTAAAAACTTATTAAGTAAAATTTCAAAAAGTATAGGAATATTGTACAAAGCAAGAAATGTTTTAAATAAACATACTTTAGTACAACTATATCATTCATTTATTCATTGTCATATAAACTATACAAACATTGCGTGGGGTAGTACAAATAAAAATAAACCTAAACCTCTTTATTGTCAGCA